ACTCCCTGGGCCGGCAGCGGGAGGGCCCACAGGAGCAGGGCCTGCTTCCCGCCGCCCCGCAGCGCCCCGGGTTCCAGAGCGGTTCTCGGAGTCTCCCGTAAACACTGGGGCGCGGGGTGCTCGGGTGAGGGCTGGGAGGTCCGGAGCCGGGAGAGGCAGCGGCCACTGCTCCGGCCAGCAGGGTCATACGGTCCCTCGCGGGGGCCAGGCGGCCCCGGGACGGCGACCAGAACTGCCTGCGCGGTGGGGCGCGGTGGGGCGCGGAGCGGCGCTGCAGCCGGGCGCGGGCGCAGGGTTCCTCCTCCCGGGCGCTGGGCCGCGCCGCGCGGGGCCGGGATCGGCAGGAATTCGGCCGAGTCCCAGGGCCCTCTCCGTCCCGCAGGGGCTGGGAGGGCTCCCGTGGGCTTGGGGAGCGCCGCGTCCTCCCCCAGCGGCCCGGCGCCTTTGTCTGGGGTGTCCCGCGCGCCGCGCCCCCGCGACGAGGGCTTCTCCGCGGGAAACCCGCGGCTCTGTCTCCACGGAGGCGCACGGGGGCGGCCGCTCGGCGGAGAGCTCGGCATGTGGGTGGCCGGGGCCCGGAGCCTGCAGCCCCGCGCCGAGCAACGCCCCCGGGGCTCCATGTGCTCGCCTCGCGGCGAGGGTGGGGGCTCCGGGTTGCGCTTCCCGTGCGGACCCGGGACCTAAATGCGTCCCCGCGTTCCCGGCAATGGCGGAGGATGGGCGGGGGCTCGGCCAGTCCGGAACCCGAGGTCCCAGGGGCTCGCTTTGTTCTCTGGTGGGGCTGGCGGTCCCTGCTCCGCGCTGGGCCGGAGCCATCGATCGCACCGGGTTTCCGCCCGCATTAGCATCCCCCGACCCCCGGCTGCCGGGCCCAGCTCCCGTCCGCTCAACAGTGGTTTTAAATCCTCTGGCTGCGTCTATGCAGATCAAAGAGGATAGACTCGACTCTATCCTCTGTCAAGAAACACATCTCACTTGGTGATATAAGCGTGTGCGCACACAAGGCCGAATTATTTTCTACCTGAATTATGCAGAAAATTCTCCCCCTCTCGCCCTTCTCGACACCCAAGGACAGACACAGACTGCTTTGTCTTAGAGTCAGCGGGTAAGTAGCACGAGGGCTAAACCAGACAGAAAGTTGCAAAATTGATGCAAATCCTTGCCCAGATCCAGAGCTTAGCTGCCCTGCGCACAGCATTTAGGCTGAGCTCCAACCATGAATCTTTTTGCTGAGGGGAGAACCAAGGATTTGTTTTATCAAATCCGCTGGAAGATTATAGGATTTCCTTCCCTGGCAGCGTCCTAGTTATTGAATCTCCTGGCCTGCGTAGACGCTACCCAACAAGGTGCTTTCTCAGATCTGCAGGGTCTCACATACATGAAGGTCAGCTCTTCCTGACTCCCTAATACCCTCTCCTTGTAGCCAGAAACACTTTCTCTGCCTCCTCCTGTGTAGATGTGCTTCAAGAGGGTGTCCTCTCTAGCCCTGATTCATGGATTTAGACCACACTTCCTCCTTTTGTCAGGCCCAGGCACACACACACCCCCCCCTCACTCCTCCAGCGTACAGCTGCCAGCCCCCAGCTCTCCAGTCCTCCCCAGCCTCACCTGCTTTCTGAGGTCTTTGTATGAGTAGCCCCAGAGGCTGGGCTCTCCTGCCTGCTCATAGCCCTCAACTGCACAAGACAGTTGGGAAGGAAAGGTTTGTTTTAACCCTGCTGGGCTTTCTAGTTGCAGGACTGCAGCGAGGAAGGGAAAAGAGAAAGAAGGATTTCAGGGCAGGAGGTGTGGCTCCGAGGCTGGGCTTGGGGCGGAGGAGCCTGCTATTCCGGGAGCAGGCCATGGAGATTGAGGGGAATTTGGAGGAAACTCCATGATTGGAGCCAGGCTGTGAGAAAGGGAGTCTCAGGGGCCAGAGGACCATGGGTGGAGGCAGAGGCAGGGTGTCCCACCCAGAAGGAAGGGGTAAAATGGAGGTGCTGAGAGTTCATGGATGCAGCTGGGACCCCGACACTGGCTTGGACCTTGGTGGCAGTGATGCTGTGGCAAGTCCCAGAGGGGATAGCTGACTGCGCGGTGGATGGAGCCCATGTCACCAGCTTGAAGGGGTCTTCAGTCCCCTCTCCCATGGTCATGCAATGCAGAAACCTGCGCTCTCAGAGCAAAGCCATGGAGGACCATGGGGTTTAGGTAGGACCCATCAGCCCCTGCCCTTAACACTCAGCTCCAACCCGCTCAAATCCCGCCCATGCTTAGCTTCTTGGAGATCCTGCATCCCAGGTGTCCTTTTTTCTGGCCCTGGAGCTGGTTTCAGCCTCTTCTACACTGTCCACGTTATTTTCACGGTGCTACAACTGGACTGCTCAGATCTCCTCCTCCTCCCCGATCTACGGTTCCCCAGTTTTCTCTCTGCTAGCAATGGTTGGGGCTGGAGTTGGCAGCTCATCAACAGATCTTAGTTGCTCATGTATTTTTGTTGTCCTGCAACCGCCCTTCCTTTATTATGACACACCTGTTATTTTTACTATTCACCTGAGCTGGAGAAAGTACAGTGGGGACTCTCGGGAGGCTGGAGGTCCCACTCTTTCTGGGCAGAGGAGATTCGGTTTAAATTTCTTTTTTTCTCAAAAAATCACATCATCATACAGTCATGTTTTAATTATTATTATTCATATTAATATGGTGAAGCAACTCTGTACATGGACTATATAAAGGGGAAAACGTGCTAAAGACAAATATTTGAACAGGAGGGCACACTAGAGAGAGCTGGGGAGGGAGGAAGAGAAGGGACTATGCCCACAGGGATCACACAAGGTACTAGCAACAGACACAGAATAGGACAAGGATTGACAGAGAAGCTCACAGAAGTCAAGTTTAAAGCAACAGGAGATAATATTGCATATCTTTGTCCCCTCACCCCTTTTGGAGTGCTCTGGTCTCTCTTATCTATGAGGCTATAGGAGTCAGGCTGGAATGGAGAAGCTCAAGTCCAGCACCCCAGAACCCAGGAGGTCATAGGAGGGTTGCTATGAAGGGGTACATGACCAATTAGGCAAAAGGAGGAGTGCCTCTCACCCAGGGCCAGTCCACAGGGGAGAGTGCAGACAGCTGGGGTGGCGGTGATGTCTGTGAACTTGTCCACAGGTGAAACAAGTTTATGTGGGGGGAGAAGTATGTCAGGTGTCAGATGCCCAATGGGGATAGGGGATATGGCTGTGTGGTCACTTGGTGGGACTCTATTTGGGGACAGGAGACTGCCTACTCTTCAGTACAGGAGGGAGAGTGAGCTGAGCCAGTGGTATGCCGGGCTCAGTGTCTGGCCACACCTCCACACCAGGCTGTACAAGAACTTAAGCTATGTGCTAATGGGGAGAGTTGGGGAGCTCTGTGGATTGCTTTTGGAGGGTGTGCTCAAGGAGACTCTGCCCAGGCTGGAAAAACCTCAGGCCAGGAGGTCAGTTTCACACTGTCCAGATTGAGCTTAACTCCCATCAGTCCCCTGCTTTTTACCCTCTTGCTCCTGGCAAGGGTAGGTCAGCAGATGGTAGGCTGGGGACTGCCACCAAGAGGGATAAAAATGGAATTCAAGGAAGGCAGGTGGGTCCTCCACTGCTCTTCTCTCCTCCGCGGGTCTAGAATCTACTGGGCTGGGACCAGGGCTACAAGGGGCTTATGAATAAAGGCCTTGGGCTGGAGAAGCCACACTGATCTCCAACCAGTTCTGGGAATCAGTCCCTCCCTCTGCGCTGGTCCCTGTGGCTCACTGACCCGGGAGGTGGAGGCCCTGGATCCTGAGACAAAGGGTGACCACGGGGGGCGGATGTAGTGGGGGTGGGTAAAAGAGAGAAAGGAGTTAGGTGGGGGGCTGTAGTGCCCCCTCCTTCATTGTCACCAGCCTGGGAAACCCAGCTGAGAGGGGGCCTCTACAGCTAGTAGCCCCTTTTAGGGGTGAATTCTCCTCCAGCCTCGTAAATTATGCCAGTCTAGCCTTTGGCGGCCGTGACCGTGAACGCCATGGGGAAAGGGAGAATCAACCACCCGCAGCTGCCAGAAACTCTTCCAGCCAATCAATGCTGCGCTCTGCAGCCCCTTTCATAGCCTCCTGGGCTTCTGGGAGGGCCCGGTGGGGGTTCCTGGGTGGCTACTCAACCTGAGGCTGTGTCTGCTCAGTCATCAATTCCCTGCTTGGGGCTTCCGGGCCCCTGCAGCGGCCCAAGCAGCAGGAAGAGTAGATGGCAGCACACCTGTGAGTGAGTGGGTGGGTGGCAGGGGACTCTGGAGAGGGCTGGGGACCCGGAGGCCTTTGGAGAAGCCGGGCCCAGAGAGGACACACGGTTGCTGACAGTAGCGCTGGCAGCTGGGTGCGCCAAAAGCCCCTGATGCTTCTGCATCCAGGCCTGGAGGACTCACACCCTAAAGGCTTGGACACCTCTGATCATTCTGTTCAGCCAAATTGCACTTCCTCCCAGGTTCCTCTGCATCCTCCTGTCCTCCCAGAGCTAACCTGATCCCTCCACTACCTGCAGGCCTCCACGCTCATTCCCTCCCCTCAGCCTCTCCCACCCCCACGACTGCAAGTTGGAGAGCCTGGGTTCTGTGGTCCCCACCTCTGCCTACTCCTTCAGGCAGACACACCTAAGACCCCAGAAGGATAGGGGTGAAAGGGGGTGCCTGGGGTGCCTCTCCCCTAGATCCTCAGTCAGAGGCTCGGCAGGCAGCGTCCCAGCCCACCTCCATCCAGCCCCTCCTCGGTTCCTCCACCGGCCCTGGCCCTGCCCCGCCTGCACTGTGGACTTGCTCTCTCCCCTTCTCTCTGGAACCAGGCAGGGCCTGCTGGGGGTGTGTGGAAGGGAACCACGAACAGACAGACAGGAGGACACCAGGGGGGGCCTGCCAGAGGTGCCTGGCGTTCCAAGCGGGGACTGCATCCCAGGCAGCGCCCCCTCTTGCTCTCTGCCAGGGACAGGCTCAGTCTGGGGCTGGCGCCCTTGTCTCGCCCCCTAAAAGAAGGAGAGCGCCTGCTCCCTCAGCAGCAGTCTTTTCTTTTTCATTCTCCGGTTCTGAAACCAGATCTTGACCTGCTGGTCGCTAAGATTCAGGCGGTCTGAGAGCTCCCGCCGGCGCTGCCTGGTGATGAATTCATTCACGAGAAACTCGCCCTCCAGCTCGGCCAGCTGCAGCTTCGAGTATGGCTTGCGCTTCTTCCGCGAGCGGCTGTGGATCGGGTACCAGGGCGCCCCTGGGTGAAGACGAACCAGCAGGGTTGGCCAGGGGACCGAGGGGTGACGCGCCCGGCGCCCCCGGTCCTCCCCAGTCGGCTTCACTTCGGCCTAGCGCCGGGCCCTGCCTCTCCTCGCCTGCCTCTCCGGCGCGAAGACCTGCCCTGCCCGCCAGCTCGCCCCTCCACCTCTCCGCGGCTCCCCGCCTGCTCCCGCCGCCGGGGCGCTGACCCTGCCGCGCTCGCCTCCCCTCGCCCTCCCCAGACCTCTCCTTCCCGACGTCCTGGTCCCTTCCCCGCGTCCGCCAACACGGGCCTGTTAAGTGAGCGGGACTGTGCGAGTGGCAAGACTTGCCCGTGCCCGCTGGCATTTCTTAAAAGATAAAGGACACAGGTCATGAGGCCCGTGGGAAGGCAGGGGCACCCAGCGCCCCGCAGCCCCCACCCCGGCCCCCGGCGGCCTCGGGGAGTCGTCCGCAGCCCACTTCCCCCGGGCTCCCCGCCCCCAGGCCGCGCGCGACGCCGAGGGGAACGTCTCCAGTTCTTTTATGGGGACATTTACATGTTTACAGGGCTCCCCACCTCCGGCGCTGCTTTCCAGAAAGAAGCATTTCCTTCTCCTCGCACGCTCCGCCACCCCGGCGGCCCGTCTCGTCCCGCCCCGTCCGCCCCGTGGACGTCCCGTCCGGGGGCCGCCTCGCGGGCGCGTGGGGTCCTTACCGCTGGCCGAGAGCCCGCCGCCGGGGTTCAGGGGAGACACCAGGCTGCCGGGGTCGCCCGCGCCGGCGCCCTTGTTGCCCTCGTTGAGCAGGGACGAGCTGGAGTCGGATTCCAGCGACTGGCAGGAGGGCGGGTCGTGCGGGGGGCCGGTGCCCGCGTCTCCGCCGCCGCCCGGCGCGTAGTCGTACTTGAAGCCGAGCGCGGGCGGCCCCGACGGCTCCAGCGGCAGGAGGGCGGCCCCGGGCCCGACTCCAGGGCCCGGCTCGCGCCCGCGCTCCTCGCGCTTCAGGCCCGCGCCGCCGCCCTCGGCGCACGGCTCGCGGTAGTAGCCCTTGCTGTCCTCCACGCGCGCCAGCTCGCACGTGCGGCCGAAGGGCGGGTTGAGGGACACGGGGCTGCCGAGGTAGGGCTGCGGGTAGCCATTGCACGGCTCCGCCGACGGCCAGGGCAGCGAGCACACGTTGTCGCGGCGCGGGTAGGACAGCGACGGCAGCCCGGGCAGCTGCGCCCCGGACGCGCGGAAGTTGGGGAAGTAGAAGGTGTCTCCGGTGTGAATGTTCACCAGCGGCCCCACAAACCCGGGATTCAGGAGATTATGCTCGCCCATTTCCGCGAGGCCGGACCGGCAGCGTCTACTTTATTGCTAGCTGACATTAAACATAGTTAAACCTGCGCCCGCCACCCATTGGCCGCCCGGCTCACGTGGGCGCCGCCGCCAGGGGGATGGGTGGGGACAGCCAGTCCCCCCCACTCCGCACCCATTCCAACTTCCCCCTTCCCCAATCTGGGGGTTGGGGGGGGCGACACAGTGGGTGCGGATTTATTCGCTGGATTCTGGTTTTTTAAAAAATCACATAAAACTTCACACAGCTAGCGAGGCAATCGCTCCACACAGGCGAGAGGGAAAAAGTCACGCCAAAAAATACCAGCACATTCAGACCTCGCACCCTGCACCTACACCCCCCCCCAGGATTATCTTCTCACCAACAGCTGGTCCAGCACAGCCCTTCCCTTTTTAATTAGCTCCTTTATTAACTAAAACCGTTGGAATTTACAATATCTCCCCAATAAATTACTATTAGATATTGTGTCATATAAAGTTTACTGGCTGTTTAAGGAGACGGATGAGTCCTTTGGCTCGCGGGTTTATTTACAGTAGAGGCGAAGTGGGGGTAAGGACAGGTTTCCCTGCCACTGTCTCTCCCAGCCCTGCGCTGGCGGCTGCACGCTGCTTCTTCGTTCTCTCACCTCCGGGATTTGGGAGACACCTGGGGTCCTCTCTTCTAAGACGGACGAGGGGAATTATTGATGCCGACCCTTTCTTCGGAAACTCCAGCCCCACACCTTCACTCACATTAGAGGGCAGAGGCTGAAGAATCAGAAAAAGGAGGTGCCTGCTCAAATTGGACCTATCTGCTTGCTCCTGAAAATCTGGGGGTGCAAAGTACTCTTCCCCGTGGATCATAGGGGTTTCTGGGAGGGTTTACTGGAGTCTCTGAAGCAAGAAGTTCTGAGATCCCCGTAGGGCTTGACTGGTCTGAGAGGCTCCTGATTCCCACCCCAGAGAAGGGGGAACTCCACACCCCAGAACTGTCCTGGTCTGTTGTTGGGGTCATCAGATAGCAACATGAGGCCAGTGGGTATGCTGCGAGTGAGGGAAAAGACCCTGGAGAATTATCTTGTTGGGGATTTGAAATTATATTTATCACGTTACCCTCATCAGCGCCTTCTGGAGAAGAGTGAGAGCCTATTTATGACCGCTGACTAGTTTAGTTGGCGTTTGGAAACCACAACCCTATCTCGGCTACCTCCACAGGACACAACCAAGCGGATTAAAATGAAAAAACAAAATCTGCGGAAGCTAGGTGTATTCGATTGTCTTCTAGCAGACAAAATACTGGAATTTCTATGTGATTATTTCTATCCCATCCCCTATCCAATGCATGACTTTAAGTAATACAATAGTTCTAAATGTCAAAAAATGAATAAACATCAGAAGAGTTAAAGAAATTAGAGACCCAGTGAGTCTGAGAGAATACAAGAGAAAAAAACCCATGTAGGTGAAAGTTAAATATCTGTGAATGAGCAGAAGCTACAAAAGCAGACCGAAGCACAAGATTCTCCCTCTTCTCTGCAGGATGCAGCAGAAAGAAATGTGGATTCTTTGAATTCCACAGCTCCCGGGGCGATTTCATATCCCAAACTATAGCTGCTCCCTCCCATGGAAATATGTCGGCGCGGTGGCGTCCTGCTGCCGGGCACAAGCTCGCAACTCAGCCAGGTCCCTCGCCTCTGCTCTGCTTCCCCTCTCCGCACCCTGGCACGTCTGGCCAGGTCCCTCGCGGGTTCAGGAGCCCACCACACTTGGAGCCCCGGTGCGGAAAGCGATGCCAAGTAGTGGGATGCCAGTGTCCAGTGCCGCGCAGCTAGGGCAATCCGAACTGCTCCCCGGCCCCCATCTCCCAGGAGCGGGCAGGAGACCGCCTGGGTTGGCCTTTTTTGTGTCTAATTGATTAAGAACCGCCCGGCTGCAGAGAGGAGCATCCCTTAGCTGCAAATTTCAAAGTCACAACATCCCCAACATCTGACTTATGCTCCTTTTCAAGATGCACTCATTTAATTTTTTGAAATAACCTGGGGGTTCCTTTGGCCCTAAGGATAAACAGGGAGTGACTTAACAGAACAGGAAGCCTCGGCTGGGTCGCCGGGCCTCTCCACCGCGGCTATTGTTGGCGTGAGGGAGGGCCAGCTTAGCCCAGTAACGGCTAGTCTTTGTGGGAGGGAGGCTTCTCCCCACCCTCTTTTCCCCTCCAGATGATTTCTATCTTCTGGAAAGGTGGTCTGCAGAGGAAGAGCTCAGCTTCTCCCCATGCCCCTCTAGCTCAAAAATCTCAGTCCCGGCGCGTTGCCTGCTGCCCTCCCGGACCAGGCCAGGCCGCTCGGCACACAGAGCCTCGGCCACAGGGCGGCAGATGCAACGCCAGGGAATGCGGCTGGAGTGAGGGCGTCTTTCTTCCCAAACGCAGTTTCACCCAGTCCAATTTCACCCTATCAGGGAAAGAATATATATCATTTCCCCCAGGTTTCGGACTCTGCGGATACTGGCACATGCACAAACCCCTATTCCTTTTGTGCGGGCGCCCCAGATTCTTCTCAGGACGAGTTACGCGAGAACCATCAGCACAATTTGCATCCCTCGTGTCCGGCGCCTCCAGGCCCATTGTGAGCCCCGGGGTTTTCAGGGAGACCCAGACAAACGAGGCACCCAGCTTCCCCCAGGACTCCCGCGGTGCTGACCGCCTTGAAGGCTCGCCGCTGCGCCCCCGCCGCCCGGGCGCCCCTTCCTCAGCCCGGCGCGGGCCAGCAGGCCCGGGAGCGCCCCTTCCAGCCTGGGTCCCCGGGGCCGGCGGGAGGCTCGGGTGCGAACCTTCGCCTCTAAACCCACGCCGGGGAGGGCAGCTTGCCGGAGCGGACTGGGGCTGGGTGAGGAGGCTAGAGGGACGCGCAGCCCACGGCGCTGGGCAGCCTCGCCAGCCGGGCGATCACGCGGCCCTGCGCAGCCTGCACGCAAAACCACCCGGCCAGCCCCGCGCTCTGGAGCCGCGAGGATCTGCGCGCCACGCTCCCCCGCATTCATCAAAGCGCAAGGTTAGCAGAGAGAGCCCGCCCGCGGGTCCCCGGGCCGCCGCGCCGGCTGCAGCTGGCCCGGCTCAACCTTGCTCCGCTCATTAACTCGGGGGTTAATTAAAACTGAAGGCAAGGCGGTGGCCCGAGGTTTTCCTTGAAGACCCCCGGCGGCCCTGCTGCTCCAGAGCATCCCACAGCTAAGCGCGGCGCCTCCTCTGCCTGCGTCTCCACCCCTCGCGCGTCCTCGCGGGCGCAGAGCGGGGACCCGGGTGCAGCCCCCGCCCGGCCCCGCAGAAGATGCTCATTGCAAAATCTGCACCGCCCGGGCGGCCGCGGTCACCGCGGAGCGGCTGTGCGAGGCTGTGCTCGCGCCTCTCCGTCGACCAGAGGTCGGAATAATTGGGCGCGGCGCTGCTTCCCTCTGGCCTGTCGCGAGGCCCCGGCAGCCCAGTTCAAGGTCACTGCCTCGTCTCCCCGGAGCGGTTCTGCGCGTATGCAAATGAGGCAGGGCCGGGCCCCGGGGCCGCGAGGAGCCGGGCTGGCGAGGGGCGCGCGGGGGGCGAGCGGCGCCGCGGGGGGACGGGGCCTGGGGCCGGCGCTCGCCCCTCTCTAGGTCGCCCCTTTGTCTTAGGACAGGATCTTTGTCCAGTTTAGACGAGGCCGAGGGTGTGCGGCGAGGTTCGTCCCCTCTCGAGGCTCCACTAGCTCCCGCAGGGATGGAGACCACCTGGCTCCGAGGCGCCCAGTCCAGGATCTGAAGGTTGGGAGGCCCTTCCCCAGACGCTCCTTCCTCGGCTTCCTCTCCAGGTGCTCCCTGGAGGAGGGGGGCTGTTAGAGAACTTGGGGAGTGGGCCCAGTCCAGCTTTCAGGGTCACAGCAGCGGCCCGGACTCAGCCACAGCCTCGCCTCCTGCAGTCCCCCCGCGGATCCTCGGGCCCCCACCAGACCCCAGGCTGAGTCTCACCCAGAGGAGGGGGGCGAGGTAGGGGCTCCTGAATACCCCTAAACGGATATTCCCCATGTTCTCCGTCCCTTTGGCGGCGCACTAATAGTTAAAGAGCCGCGCGGCTCTGACATTTCCCCCCTCCCGCCAGCAGAGGATCTCCTCCGCCCGGGGAATTACTGAGCGTCGGGAAAGGTGTGGGGACCAAGTCAAAAAAAAAAAAAAAAACACACACACACACACACCCACAAAACCAAAACACCACACCCACAGCTCCCGCGGCACCTCGCGGGCCGGGGTCTGGTCTCCGCGGGCCTCGAGGGCGGCTGGGGACGAGCACCGCGCGCGCCCCGCTCCTGCGCCCGGAGGCCGGCCGTGACCCTGGCCTCCCCGCAGGCCCGGATCTGAGGAGGCGCGAGACCTGCTCGGGGTCTGCTCCCCACAGCCACCCAGCGGCGTCCCAAATTCAAGCCACCCGCCTGGGGGTGGGCGTGGAGGGGCCTGCGTGGGGACCAGCGGCCCAGGAGGCTGGTGGGAGTGGAGGGCGCGCCGCTGGCCCCCCAGGCGGCCTGGGCTGGCCGAGCGGGGTCCACTTACCTTTGGAGATGGAAGAGGCTCAGAGGGTGCGGGGCGGGGGAGGCCTCAACCTCCGCGAACCCTCGGGGTGTCCCCTCCCCAAAGCCACCCTCAGGCCCAGCCCGAGGTGCCTGCGCAGGGCGGGGCGGAGGAGGCGGAGGGAGCGGCCAGCGGTAGGCGCGCGGGAGCCGAGTTGCCGAGCATCTCTGGAGAGGCCGCCTTTTATGGGCGTTATTAGCGCCCCTGTCTAGACTGGAGACGACACCTCCTCTGTGTGTAAACGGAGGCGGCGGGCTCTGGCGAGAGGGGGTGGCGCGCAAAGGGGGCCAGGCGCCCTCCCCTGCTCCGGCCACCGGAAGATCAAGGCCTGGTCTCCCCTCCCCCCTTCCTTGGGCTCCCAGTGATGTCAAGGTCAGAAAGACCTAGTCACGGTCAAGGCTAAAAGGGGAAGCGCCTGGTTGGTTGCGAAGAGACTCTGGTCCCCTCCTCCTCCCAGAAGCCCTTTGCTCCCCAGAGCCCCTCAATCTTCCCCCAGTGCAAGTCTGGATACACTTCTGCCTGAACGGGCACCCGGAGTTTTTTGAGGGGTGGGCTCCCGACACCATCCAAGCTGGACCCAGGTGGCTCTGGGGCGTGGGGGGAGTTCTCTCTGCCAGGAGGGGGCTGCTGCAGAATCCCCAGCTCCATCCCTTCCCGTGGTGGCGAATGTCCCAGGCCCCGTCCCTGCCTTGCACCCACGCTGGCTGCTGAGCCAGCTGCCCAAGGATCAGCCCAGGAGCAGATGGTCTGGAGACAGCCGTGAGGGATCTCCAGAGAACTGCTGGTCAGGTGGGTTCCTGGCTAGGAGACTACCAGCTGCAAGGCCCATTCTGCTGGGCCTGGGTCGGGGGAGTGGGCTGTGGGCAGGGAGGCACCCCCCCACCCCCATCTGAGCCCTCCCTGGGAGCCTGGTAGAGTGACCTTCAGATGGAAAGTCCTGTGAGTCCCCCCCCCATCCTGATGCAGGAGGGAGAGGGACCAGGAGAGCCATCCATTATGAGAAAGATAGTGGGGACCTTGGTTCTAGGGGAGAAGGGCTGTCTCTGTTTCCAGGGAAAGCCTCTGTGCTCACAGCCCTTCAGACCTCATGGATCCCCTTGCACCCTAATATTATGGAAGCCTCCCTCTCACACCAACACTGGGTTATAGATTTGAATAGAGAAAACAGACCCTGCACCCCAAGGTGAGCGCCTGCTGACCGCATTCCTACTCACACACATGCACACGCAGGGCTGGAAAGGCTGGGGAAATTCTCCGAGGGTCAAAGGCGCTCTCTCCTCCCCGAGCCCCGCACACATGGACACACGTGTGTGTCTGCACACACACCTGCCCAGGAGTATCTCAGGGTCCCCAGTGAAATGCCAGCTCTTGGGGATAGGGAAGGGAAAGTAAGGCAGCAACATGCCAGTACATTTCCCCAGCTTCGCCCCCACCCCCCAACACACACCCACCCAATACCTGTCTGACACGGGAGCTTCATTCACGCGCTTGTTCACGCTTACGGGAGAGATGGTTCCACACCTAAGCAGGTCTGTTTAGCCAGCGCACGAGAGGTTCCTCAACACCCCGGCCCACAGGCTGGGGGGAACTGCAGTCCCTGCCTGGGTTACTGGTGTCCCCTGCAGCCCTAACGAGCCTGCACAAGCTTTTTTTTTCTTCTCCTTTCCATCACCCCCTTCTGGGCTTTGGGGTGGTTCCTTAAGGAAGACTCTCTCATTTGACCATGTGTGGGTTTGTATGCAGAAAGAGGGATCTCTCTGATGGCTGCAGAGGACTCTTACCCCCACTGAGTATCCAGTGTGTCCACAAGGTGTCATGGGGCACCCCAATGCACCCTCAAGTAAAGAGGGGTGGGGGCCCACGTCCACGAAGCCCCAGTCTCTTTGCTTATTCAGTTCCTTTTTCAGACCCAACACATACATGTAATCTCCAACTCTCCACCTCCGGGAGTTTTGGAGAGAGGTTTGTGTGGTGGGTGGTGAAAGGGAACATGGAATTAGGAATGAATCTTCTTCCTGGGAGATTCACCTATTTCCTCCTAAATCCCACTGCATGTTTCTTTGGTAGTGAGTTCGGAGTTGAGCTGGTGGAGACCGGACAATGGTCGAGGCTGCAGAGGGTGAGTTCTCCAGGCTCTTTGTCTCCCAGCCTCCGTGTGTGCATGCGTGCGTGTGTGCACGCGTCTGTGTTTCACCCGCAGAAACATTTATTTAAATTAAATTTTGAAAAACTTCAGCCATAAAGGAAAGGACTATTGGAGAACTCTGATTTCCAACTCAATGCCTCCAGCCTTTCTGTGTCTCAGCAGACAAAAAAATATTATAAATAAAAATTGCCGCAGTAAAGATTTAATCTGAGATAACATTGTTTTAGGCTATATTGCTTTTTTAAAGTCTCTTAACCTGACAACTTAATGATCTCATTAACTCTGCCAGATAGGGAGATAGGCACCAGGACGCGACAGGGAAAACAAATTAGTGGCCTCGTCTACAGGGCTCCTGATTGCCTGGAACACTGGGGTCCCCGGGAATGCTGGGGAATAAAAGCAGGTTGGTTTAGTGGGTGGTGGCCCAAGAGGTCCTTGTGGGCTGATCTCCCTGCATAGGCAGATGGGGAAGAAGGTGCAGCAGGGGGTGCTGAGCTCAAGGCAGCCCCATGGCAGGGCAGATTCTACAGAGTCCTCCCCAGCTCCAGTCCTGAACTGACTACCAGGGGTCTGGGCCCCTCTGAGGGCAGTAGTGCCCCAGGAACCTAACATTAGCTCCCTGCCACTTCCAGCTCCCAGCTGGGGTCCTACCATCTCAGCCCTCAGATCCAGACCTGAACCCCAACTATTAGCTGACGTGAATGGAAACATACTTTGCTCACTCACCTGCTTGCAGGCTTAGCAGTGGCCTGTGACAGCTTCCTCTCCCTAAAATACACCCATCCACTCAGGGCATCAGGATGGGAAGGAGTGTTCCTCCTAGATAGTATCAATAATCAAAAAAAAAAAAAAAGACACTGAAAAAAACATTTAAATGGAACAAAATATGGATTTGGGACCTACCCAGACAAGGACGAGCCCTGGGCCCTTCCTCTGCCCGTCCCGGCCGAGTCAGGGCCCTGCAGACTGAGGGCCGGTGGACAGAAGGGTCTTGAGGGACTTTTGAGCAATAAGAATCAAGGCAAAACAAAAGATTTTATTTTAAAAACAGGATTGTGGGTTTTTTTTCTGTTTGCATTCAGTACATTGTCATTCAGACATCACAATACTATATACAGATACACAACATTTTTTAAAAAGCCTATTTCTGATGAATATTTCAAAAGAACACTGTTTCGTAATCCGCCAGTGGGACGGGAGAAAGTGACCCCCTGCCCAGCACCGAGTTGGCCTTTGAGGAGGGAAATGTCAGGCAGCATCTACCTTAGCTGGCTTATTGGGGAGCAGTTGTGTGGCCTCCTGGACGAAAACTGCTTTCCTCTGGATAATCAGCAAAAGTGAAAAGTCTGTCTCTCTCCTGAGCTCCTGCTTCCATGGAGAAGCAGGGAGAGCTACTGGAGAGGGACTCTGCTGGGGGACCCCCTCTGCAGCCCCCTGGAAAGGTTGTCCTTTCCTTAGAAAGAAGTTCTGATTCTGTGCCTGGTCTGATGAGAGAGTGAGAGAGGTTTTAGCAGCGTGACTGGAATTCTGAATCTTGACTGAGAGCCGAACAGAGGGTGCAGTGGAACAGAAGACTCCCAAGAAATTCAGTTTCTTGGTGGAGGTGGGGGGTGCGTGTGCTCCTCAGTCAATTCCAGCTTTTACTGAAACCCATCTGGAAGGAAGAAAACCTACACGCTGTTAGCTCTCCAAACATGATGCCAGATACCTAATAATTATCATTAATATTAATGGAACTTTTAAAAATATGCACAAAAATCTTAACTGGGAAATCTTGCCTAACTTAAGGTGTAGGGAGGAGGAGGGAGCAGGATGAGGAACTAGAAGAAAAAGGACGAATTGGCCAGGTCCTGCGCCCAGGCCGCACCCTCAGGAGTGTCATCCATAAGCCTGGGCAAAGGATGGGGCAAGAGAGGGGAGGTTCAGGGGTCCCCCAACCCTGCAACCCTGCTTTGGTTGGAATGATTGGGCTCTTTGCTGCCGCTTGACTGCCTGGCTAAGCGAAGGGTGAGGGCAGGAGGGGTGAGGCCCCGGCCTCCATCCCGCAGCCCACCCAGACCCCCTCCCGCGCTGTGGAGGCCAGGTGAGTTCCATCCAGGCGGGGCAAGGGTTGAGGATGGGGTCTGGAGTGGGGCCTCCGAACCTCTCTGCCTCCCAGCGGCGGTGCGGTTCATCTTTCTTGTTAACTGTTAAATATTCGTCAGCACCAGCGAAGCGTCCTTCGGTGGGTTGGGTTATGGTACAAAGCGGCGACATAAATAGACGGGGCGGGAGGCCGATGGCGATCAGGTGGAGTGGAGGTGAGGTGCTTTCGATTTACTGACCACCTTTTTCTCTTTGACCCGCCGGTTCTGGAACCAGATGGTGACCTGGCGCTCTGAGAGGTTCGTGGTGGCCGAGATGCGCCGGCGCTTCTCTTTGGTGATGAACTTGCTGGCTGCGTACTCCTTCTCCAGCTCCTTCAGCTGCACCTTGGTGTAGGGCACACGCTTCTTGCGCCCGCGCCGGTAGCTGCTCACCTCGGGCTGCAGGGGAACCACATCTGGGGGGAGAGAAGGTGGGCAGGAGGAAGTGAGCCTCGTGGCCGATGGAGACCTCAGCGAGGCTGCGGAGGCTCAAGATCCCAGCAGGGTCCCGAGGCAGGCCGATTGCCCCCCAAATCCTGTGCACCTCTACTACTAGCAAGGCTGAGGGGCGACCGCCTCTGGTGTAAATTTTAAGGGGAAAAGCCAAAATTTCAGTAATCAAGATAACTATTTTCATGCAATGTTTTACAAAATCAAACCAAATGCAAAAGACAGATGTCACATTTTAAAATAAACACAGGACCAGCACCACTGAGGTGTCCCTTTGCCCCAGGCTTCAATACGGCTCTGCACAGTATTCCTTATTAGACTATTTGTACCCTCCTTGGGAGGGGAGTCCCTCCAAATTCCACCCTGGTCTGCTTCGGAGTGCAAGTATTCAGGGAAAGCCCTCCTGTGTGAAGCTGATTAAGTGGGCACCTTCAGCTCATACTCCACCCCAATGCCAGGAGAAGGTCCCTCGTGGTGTGTTCGGGGGAGGGCATGGTGGCCTGGGAGACAACTTCCGTGGGCACAGACCACCAAGTAGGTCCTCATAGTCACTGGCTTTGCTCTAGGAATCTGTGGGCTGCACCAGGAGATGGAAGGACACCCCCCACCCCTAGAGGAGATAGTCTGTTTGGGGACCTGTCGCTGTAGAAGTCCAATTACGTGAGCCACCTAACTACATCCAAGGTGAGAGGTTGTGCTCCTGAGATGGACAGAATCAGGGACCTGGAAATAGAGTGCCCCAACCAGAGCAGGCTCCAGGGGAGTCCTTCTTGGGTTAGAAGCAGCTGCTCATGCAAGTCTTCTATAAAAAGAACACAGTGCCTCCCTGTCCCCCATAAATGCTCACTCACCAAAACAAAGTAAATTCTGCTCCAAGCCCCTCTTCTCTCCATTCCTTCATGGCTGAAGCAAACTGTCCCTGTCCCTGCAGGGACCCTAACACTAAGCCCTGAATTCCTTGTCATCCCAACCACTACTAGTGCAATTCATTTATGCTCTGAGAATTTCACAGAAACTGAAAATAATAAGTGGTACTGATATCCCCCCTCTTCTCTCTCCTCCCCTCTGTCAATGAAAGGGCAATACAAACTTTCAAGGGGGCATCTGAACTCGGGAGATGATCTGAACTACTCATCCCTCAATTTAAAAAAATGGAATTGTTAGACTCCTTCAGGCAGAAGCTAATGAGGAGGACTGAGTAGCTGGCGTCTTCTCTTCATTCTTACTGCTCCTTGGAAGCACAGGCAGATACAGAATGAAGACATAAAGCTCTTCCTGAAATGCCCATTCTCATAAAAATACCCTCCTAGACCTGTCCCCATTGGGTCTGCCTACTCCCAGGGACCCTGGTCTATACAAGATGGGGAGAGGCCGTAACCAAAAGCAGTGAGCAAGACAGTCCTTGGAAGAATCTGGGGAAGAGAGGGTTTGAATGGTCTGTTTTCACTGTCTTCATGATGATAATTTTCCAGGAAAAATTGTTGGACTTGTTACTTTTCTCTGACTATAAAGGAATAGGTCAAGTTTTTTTTTTTTTAATCTGAAAAACACAACACCATTGCTTCAACAGAGCAGATCTTTTAGGTTAAAAAGGATTTTTTGTTACGAATTTTGTTTTTAAAACTCTCAGTCCTCACACTGTCTGACTCTAATATATGTAACTATTATTTGGGAAACTGATGATTCTGGGAGAGAGTAAAACAAAGAGAGTAAATAATGGTACTGTGAGTTTTTTTTTCCTAATTCTCAAAATATATTTTTCAGGATAATTTTATTAAGCCCATTTTATAGGATGAGAAATCTGAGGCTCAGAGCAGATAAAATAACATAAATGACAAAGGCAGCTTTTAAACTCAGATTTTTCTGGGAACAGATTTTTCTGAGAACACAGTAAGTTCTAAAATGGAAATAGGCCACCTGGTACAATTCAACTTTAAAATATTCTCTTTTTCCTGAAGAGCAAAATGGAATAAAGGTGGATTTTTGGTTCCTGAATTAACCAAATACTTTTTCCTGATTTTTTTTTTTTAATCTTTCTGGAAGCCCTCAAAATTACCTATTCTATTGTGGGCTCCCTAAGCCCCAACTCTAAATTACCAAGGGGATTTGATTTATTCAACACAACCCTAAAAAATATCAGATTTTAAAAAGCAAACAATTTGTATAAACTGTCTATTTTCTACACAGGATGCTAGGGATTGATTTAGCCAAGTTTTTCATGGATTAGACCCTACTTGGTTGTTTTGGCCTCTTGTGGAAATACTTTTAGTCTGGTATTCTCAAAGAACATCCCTTTCATTGCCTGCTATCCAGTCTGGAAAGAGAGTGAGTTTATGATATGGAAACACTGAAGTGGGGATTTGGCTATTAGTTTTGCAATCAAACCTTCTCTAGTCTCCCTCCACAGTATGTGTGCGTACATGGGCACACACATGATCACACACACAGACACCCCGTTTCATATTTAGGACCCTAATAGACACCTTTGAGGAGAGAATAAAAATCAGAGGAATGTTCAGCTATAGCTTTCCTTTGGGGTCTTGTATGCAGGTTGCCACTGCCTACCTGCTCTTAACTACCCACTCCTACAACAGGGCTCTGGAGACGACCGCGTCTAGCAATAATTCTAGTTGCTCTTCTCAACCAAAATCCAAAGGCTTGTCAGTACACACTCCAGTACGGTCCAAAGAACCCACTCTTTCTTTCTCTTTATTGCGCTCTCCCCCAATCTGTCCAATCTGTCACTGTCTCCCTAGCTCTCCCCCTACCCACACACCTTTCTCTATGATTTTCTCTTGAAATTCTGCTGATACTCTATTGGGATTTCTGCTTCTGTCTGTCAAAAAAAAAAAATGTCTATAGTCACTATAGAAACTAAAACAAACAAACAAACAAAAAAACTAGCTATGAACAAGGGTCTGTATAATTGGGGGAAGGAAGAAGCCACAACACATCTTGGCCCTAATTATCTGGATCTTTCTGAACAATTGACTTCATCTCCCACGCCAGCCCAGACTGCCATAGATGAGGTTTCTCAGAGCCAGAGGCACTGAAGAGAGACAGTAGTGTTTATGCCTAGATGCTGCCGAACAAACCACAATTGCATAGACAGGGTTATCTGGAAATCTCACTACTTCTAAAAGATCTCTCTGTGGGTAGAAAGATGGAGGGTGTCTGAAGATAATTTCTTTTTCATCTGCCTCTTGCCTGGACCTCTGTACTCACTGAGATACACCAGTCCGATTCTATTTCCACACAGGCAGCCTGTGAGCACATAGCTGCTAAGATACACTGGGTTTTATATTCAATTCATGCTGTAATTTGCAAGTGTAATAAATCTCAATTGGGCTGGGTTTTTTTTTAATTTCAAAGATATTTTTCTCTAGGAGGCTGTGATCAAAAAGGGCTCCAACCCCTCAGCCCACTCCACACACAATACAGAGATCCCGGAGCAGCTCCTTCTTTTCAGTTTCTTCACTCTAAATCCATAGCCCCTGCCTCTAGACCCGAGCCTCTGCCCATAGCAGGCCTGGCGGCTCCTGCTCCCCTGCCTTTTGGCCCCTTGACATGGTCTTGCCGCTCCCCCTATCCCAGAAATTCCTGCTGGACCTTCATCTCCAAAGGTGCTTTCCATTTGGGTGAGATTAAAGGACCATCTGTCTATAGAATTTTACTGTATATCTACGTGTGGCTTGCCTCTTCTCTGCAAATGTATTGTTGTGTGTTTCATATCAGGTTAATAACACGTCATATAAAAATAGTACAGTCAACGTTGAATAGGTAATGCAAGTCTTATATTAAAATTCTATCATCCTTAAATCTTCAGGCAGCCAGAAATGGGGTGCTTAATGTGGGTCTCAATGTGGTACTCAGTTATTTTATCTTAGGTAATCGCATACTAGTTATTTACATGCATGTTATTTGCTATACCTTCTAACATCATTCATATGCATTCTGATAAACACCCATAGGTTTTGAATGATTTTTCACTGTATGCCTCTGCTCCAGTCCCGGATGCAGAGGAATTTCAGGCCCACCCTTAGGAGATCTTCAGGTCTCTACTTTCCAATGAAAATGCCCCTGGGCCTGCATATGGACATGAAGGACCTTCCAAGTAGAATGGGTAGACATCTGTGGGCGCCCCAGATGTCTGGCACCAGAAGGGAGCCAGTCAGTCCTCTCCCACTGAGTTCTGCTTACAGACAAGAGAGACAGAGCAGACTCAAGCTCTGGATTGGGTAGACCCTGAATCCTGATTTCTCACAAGAGTGCTGAATCCAAACATGGTGGTAGTTTCCAGAAATTTGGGGTTGGTCTCCAACCCCCCCCCCCCCCCCCCCCGGGGTTGTGGGGCAGCAGGATCCTCTCTTTTTCAGATGTAGCTTCAACTAGAAAGGGGACGCGGCATCCATGAGTTCTCCCCTAGTCCCACACATAATCAGACAGGACTGAGGGGACCCATCCTGGGCCTGGACCCCAGATCCCACTAGAATAGGTCTCCCCGGCCACCTCATCCTCACTCCCCTCTCTCTGTCTGAGGATAACTCCCATCCCCCCGAGCATCTGGGGGAGTTGGCAGTGGAAACACTCATAGGATTTGACTTCAATATATCAGAGAGGCAAAAACAAAAACAAAAAAAATGTGTATCCCAGGAGAGGGATGTGAATCCCTCCTGTCTATACCCTCTTGGAGAGAGGTTAGCTCTTCTGCTAGTTTCACCATCCGAAATTCGCAGCCGAGTTTTTAAAAATAAATCAAGAAAATAAAAAAGAAAGCACCCCTACATTTCCGTAGACCCCGGCAGATCAGACCCCAATTAAAACATAAAAACCCTCTAATGCCTGAACGATCACGAAAATTCAGGCAAAGGCAATATCTGGGGGTGCTTATTATTTTCCCCCTAATTATTCGGCGGAGTGAGGGCTCCGGTGCCTGTGGGTTCCCCGGCACCCGAGGCCCGCCCCACCTCACTGCCCGAGCAGAAGCGGGCTCGGGGGCAGGAGCCGCGCGGGCGCGGGGCGCCGGCTGGGGGAGGAGGAGGCGAACTCCCGACTCGAGCCGAGCCGCCGGCCCGGCGCTCGGGCGCCTGTGATTGCTTCACTCTGGGTCGGCAGCTCCGGGGAACGTGTCGGAGCAGATTTCTTCCCGGCGCATTCCTCAGCGCGGCGCGCCCGGCCGGCTCCCTCGCAGCCCCGCGCAGCCGGCGCGCCGGGGCCAGACCGCGGGGGTGGCTGGGGCGCGGAGCCGGGGGCAGGCGGGGCGGGGAGGGTCCCGGCGGCGGCGGGCCCCTGCCTTACCTGGAAAGGGAGACTTCCAGAGGTGGGCGGACTGCGGCTGCTCCTTGGAGCAGTACACCTGACTGTCCCAGCCGTTGGAGAGCGCCCAGTGCTGGTAGCCTTCGACGGGGATGAGCGCGTCGTGGCGCGGCTCCGGGTGCCCGCTGATGCCGGGCACCACCGACACGTCCAGGTAGCCGGGCATCGCCTGGTAGGAGCTGGCGAAGCTGGGGTAGAAGGCGAACTCCTTGGCCCGGGAGGACAGGTCGTCCCCGGGCAGCGCGCCCGACGGCTCGGGGTACTTGTCGCCCGGGTGGTAGGCGCAGGGCTTCTGCTGCAGGTTCACGTTGTGCGACAGGCGGCAGCCGTAGTAGCTGCCGCCGAACGGGTAGCCGTAGCCCAGGGTGGCGCTGGACGAGGTGGGGGGCGCCGGCGGCGGGGCGCACTGGCGGGCGGCCTCCGGGGTCGGGATGTCCGTGTAGACGGCGCCCTGCGGCGCGCCCAGGGGGGCCGGCGGGCGGCCCAGCACGGGGTGCGGGAGCAGGTCGCGGCAGTGGCTGGCCGGGCAGCCGCTGCCCAGCCCGTCCATGCTGGGGGCTTTGCCGGGGCTCGCTCCGCTGCAGCCGCCCCCCGCTCCGCCCGCGCCGGCGCCGCTGCCGCTCTCCGCCGCGCTGTCCTCATAGACGTACATAAGGCTCTCCGGCCAGCGCGGGCGCAGGAGCAGCGAAGTCGTCATGACATGGTCTGCGCGAGCTTTTTAAAAACTCCACTTGCCGGCGGCGGCGAGCGAGGGAGACACCTCGGCCCTTCCCCTCCCCCACCCGCCCGGCCTCCCTCCCCGCCCTCCTCCTGCCGGGCGCCCCCGCCCTCCCGCGGCCCTTCTGCGCATGCGGAGACGCTTCATTAAGAAATCCGCCGGCTCCCGCCGGCCCCGCTCTGGCACCCGTCCCGGCTCACGTGACCGGCCCCGCGCACGTGACCCCGCGGACGGGGCTCCCGGGGCTCCCACCCCGCGAGCCGGGGCGGGACGAGAAGGCAGCGCTCGCCTCTGATTGGCTCTCGCGGGGGGGCGAGGAGGCGGGACCTGGGAGATTTAAAGGGACAGGGCACCGCCCCCCCGGCAGGCTCCGGGGTGGGAGCGGGCGGGGGGAGGCCGGGTTTGGCCGACGCAAAGGGGCCTGGCGGCCGGAGGGCCGGGTCTGGGCGCCTCCGCCCCGGCTTCGGGTGCCTGTGGCGGAGATGAGCCCCTGCCCCAAAATCATTTGCTGTGACTGCTCAAGTGTCTGAATGGGGGGTTGCAGCCGAGGGGGGGGCGGAGGTGGGGGGGGCGTGTGTGTGTGTGTGTGTGTGTGTGTAAACCGATTTTTTTCCTTAATAAATAAGCCAGAAAGCGGGCGGAGGCGCCGTCGCTGCACCAGCTCGGGCCGGCAGCTCACGGGAGAGCCCGACGCGTCGCCACAGCGGACCCGATGCCGCTGCTGTGCTCGTTTGCAGCTTCACCACTTGCCCCAGCCCGGCTGCCCGCAGGGGCCCTCGCGGCTCGTCCCTGCAGGTTTCTCTCAAGCAGAGCTTGGGGCACTGGGAGGACGACAAACCCAAACGGAGGGGGTCGTGGGGGGAACAGGGACAAAAAAATAAAAGGGGAGTGGGGCGACAGAATAGACGGATAGTTCAACACACAACAGAAATGCAAAGCCTTGGAGAGAGATTTTTTTCAAGAAAAGCAGGGGGAGGGTTGGGGAGAGGATTCCATCTACCAAGGCTAAAGGTGCTGCATGCGACCACGAACACGGCTCCCAGATCCGTGTACAAAAGAAAATGTGGAGGGAGGAGGATTCTGTGGTGCTGCCCCGTGGGAAGGACCTTTCTTGGCACAACTCTTGGCTACCCCAGGAGGGGGGCCTACCTCAGCGCCCAGGGGTTCCTCTTGGTCCTCGGTGTCCCAGGCTAAGTTGAGGATGAGGGATGAAGCCAGGGGGTCAGGCAGAGCTGGGTTCAGCGTGGACAACCCCATTTCAGCTCCTTGGCTTCCTTGGGCTCACTCCCTCTAAGTGTGGACTGTTTTCATGTTTTTTAATGCCCCGTATTTCAAAGAAAAAATTAACAATTTACTGATTTCTGGAAAGACTCCCTCCCAATGTCCCTACTTAGTTAGACTTCCTACCCCCGCTTTGGCACCCGCACAGGGTCACCTCTCTCCAGAACACATCTCTCCGGAATTGAGCCAAGTTCCCTTTTAGCCCAGGACCTCAGAGAAGAGAATAAAGAGAGAAAAACAGGGAACAGAGCTGCAAGGTCTCCTCTTTTTTTGCCTCTGCTACGAATGTCAAATGCTAGGTTCTCGAGTCCACACAGGACTCAGGCCACAGGCACACATTAGTCCCTAGCTAAGCTCGACTGACTGGACACCTCCAGCCAAAGAGCGAAGGCCAGGTCTGTACTGAAGTCTGGCCTACTGGCTGCCTTCCTTCTCTCAGTAGGGGGAAGGCATTGGAGGTAGCGAGTGCCTTGATGTTAGTGAGTCAGGGTAAGAAGCAGTTCTTACCTGGAAGGGTCACCTTCCAGTTTGGAAAGCAGGCTCTGGCTGGGCTGACAGTAGAAGGCAAAACACAACAGCAAGTTTTGAAACATCAACAGGGGAGCTTGGATATGTATTGATGGTGCTGGTGGTAGAATAAAGTGATGTGAGCCCCGGAAAGGTGGGGTTGTGATAGGAAGTGGCTGGACCAGGAAACCGACTTCCTTTTCTCTGGAGTCCAAGGTCAAGGTAAAACATGGAGAGCAACAAGGCCTGGCCTGTGACATTGGCTCCTGTGTCCCAGCCTGCAGCCTGGCTGGTGGGGGCAGAATGGTGAGGAAGCCTGCCACGTCCCAGCCTTGGGTGTAGAGGTGTTCAGGGGTGGCTTGGAGGCCCTGGCTGCTCTTCTGGGAAATGCCTCCGCCCTGAGAATGGATGGGGAGACCAGGAGAAACAAAGGGCCAGAACCTCCGCTGCTGTCCCATTCCTGGGCTTCCTTGCCTGGGGTCCAGAAATGCCCTAGCCCAGTACCAGCTGTGTCTTCCATGAACCAGAACCCAAAGGCATGCCCTAGCTTTTAGGAGTAGGGGGCAGAGCAGGCCGGGAGGATCTGGTGCATGGCCGCCCAGCAATAAATAAAATTAATAGTATGTTCTTTTTCAGGTTTATATAAGGGCATTAACTATTCCTATTACAATGAGATATAGATTTAATTAACGGGGAATTTTACAATTTCATTTACTAGGGGCACACGGTGGCCAAAATTTAGGGAGGGAAAAAGGAAACCGAGGTTCCTTCGATCAAGAAGAACCAGCGAGTCAGACACGCGGCGTGGCCCGCGCCAGGCATCGGGCAGTGCAAGCCTGGAGGGAGGGTCAGGGCTAGAGCGGCCGGAGACGTGTCCTCACACTCCGAAGGAGTCCCCACTCTCTCGCTCGGTTCCCTAAGCCCTTCGGAGTCTGAGGCTGCCGGCTTCGAGGCTGGGGTGCGCCCAGAGCCGGGATGGAGGCTGCGCGGCTAAAGCCCGCGGGCGGCGGCGGAAAGTCAAGCCTCGTTGGTTAATTAACTTTAAGCCCGGGGTCGCTTCTCTCTCCTCCCCCGAAAAAAATGTGGATCTTGCTGAGACACAAATAAAACCAAATTAAACACTCCAGGAGAATATGCACCACTGGAAACGTAGTAATTACATCTCCGAGGTGATCCCGCCCTGGAAAGCCGGGCGCTGCACCCCGGCTCCCGCCCTCACCCCCCACCGCACCTCGCCCCGCCGGGCTTCGCGAAGGGGCCGCGGCGCGCGACGCCGGGAGAGCTCAGCGAAAAGCAAGAGAAACCAAAAGGAATGTGGCTCCTCGGCGTCGTGCTGAGCGCTTGTGTGGGGTGGGGGGCCCGGAGCAGGTCATTCTACGGCAGGAAAATGGAAAATGGCCCCTCAGCCCGGTCGGGAAGCCCCGCTCTGCTCCTGGCACTTTTCAAAGGGACATCTGCAAAGGCGACATGGCGGTGGCCGGTGGCCGTGGGGGGCCCTCGGCCCTCAGCTTCCTCTTGGGGTTGCCTTTCTGGCTCAACTCAACTCTGAAATTCTTCTTTTGAAAGGCTCCAACATACAAAGGAGATATTCAGCGTGCCTTCCTACTGAGTGTGTGTGTGTGTGTGTGTGCGTGTTTGTGGTGTGTGCAAGGCCCGTGGGTTTGGGACCCTGTGCCCTGTTTCGGCACAGGCCTGTGGACACAGCCAAAATTGTTCCTGAAGATACTCAGCTCTGCTGAAATCCTCTATATGCAAATAAAGATCCTTGGGGTCTGTCTCTCGAGGGCACACCGAATTTACACGCTCCTCTTGCTCTGTACCTAGACACCGCCTAGGAAAATCCTAGGGACATGAAGAGCACATGTCTGTGTCATTCTGGAGTCGAGGGTGGAATTCCTGTCCACTGTATTAAAGACAAAGCCAGAGGTAGGAGTTAGCATCATGGGCAGCAGGAGGGTGCCAGCCTGGTGCACACGTTGGAGGGCTGGGTGCAGCTTGATACCAGGCCAGGGAGGAGCATAGAAAGGCGGGTGGTGTGTCCCTCACTTACTCAATGCCCAGATTATCTTGTCTGGAAGTTAAGCATCAGTTGAGTTCCATTCCATGACCACCCCCCCTTCATCTGTTTCCTCCATATTTCCCAAGAAAAAAGAAGCTCTGAAGATCCTGCCTCCATTTTTATGGGAGAAATTCCAGGTTTTTTTTTTTTTTTTTAAGGAAGGGGTGGGTTGAGGCTACAGGAGAACAAAGAGCCTCACCACCATGAGGTCTGGGTTTTGACCCACACTTGGGGCCTTGGTGGGCAGGCATAGAGTTTGGGGGGCCTTTTCCTGTTCAGGGTCCAGACAGCAGGATGGAAAAGATTCGTGGGGAACAGAGGACACAGGACTTGAGCTATCTAGGAAAGAAAAGGATGTTTGGGGTGGAGAGGCCAGTTACCGGAAGGGGGTGAGGGTTCAGGGAGGGCCTGTAGGTGAGCACTCTTGAGACCAGGTCTGAGTGGGGACAGCCTCCCACACACAAAGTAAATTCCTGGTGGTTGAAAACAGTGATATTAGTGGGGAAGGGGGAAAAAGTGGCTGATTCTGTGGCTCTCTCTGGCCCTTCCCAGTCCCCACCTTGCCTCGTTCCCTCCACCTCTCTGGGTTCTAGAAGGTGGGGGTGGCCAAAGAGCGTTCAGACGCTGATGGCACCTCCCAGGCTCCTGGATCCCTCTGGAACCTGCTCTACTTTAATCTCTCCACCCCCACAGCTTGGCCTCAGAGGAGGGCCGCCCAGGCCTCACCTCCTAGCCTGAGAACTCACCTCCTGGACAGTAGCTGCCATCCTGGCATCTTCCACGGATACTGTTCTTCCTCCCTCGGCCCCCAGCTTGAGGGAAGAGGCGACCAGGGTGGGTGAGGCATCACTTTGCTCCTAGTTTCAGAGTTTTCCTCTTTCAAACCCAAACTTGCCTTCCTGGGCGCCCCTTTACTTCCCTCTTTAATACATCAGGGAAATCCACTCCCTTCTGCTGCCAATTTAGAATTTGCAGCGCTGGCCGGAGATTGGGGGAGCCCCACCAAACCTTCCTGTCTGGTTCTGCAGGGATCCACAAGAGGTCCGGTTTAGGCTGTTCTCACCAGTCTTTTCCTGCAGTCTCCTCTAGCCTGATCTCATTGCAGACCTTGCCAAGTGGTGCACTGGTTTGG